ACTCCACCGAGGGTTCATTAATGGCCCTATTTTCCCCTCATTCCCTCTAGAATTTATAATTTCTCTTAGGTGTGAGGCGATATCTCAGAGTTCTTTTAATTTGCCTTTCTATAATCTATAGTAATTTAGAACATTTTTATGTGTCTATAGATAGCTTTGATTTTTTTTCCTGAAAGCTGCCTGTTCATATCCTTTGACAATTTATCAATTGGAGGATGGCTCTTTTTTTATAAATTTGATTAAGTTCTCTGTATATTTGAGCTTTATGAGAGAAATTTGCTATATATTTTTGATATTACTTAATTGCCTATGTTATCTTTTAGCAAAATGTAGGTTCCCTGATTATCTATTTTCATTAGGTTTATTTTTGTTTTTGTTTTGTCTGAGATCATGATTGCTACCTTGCCTTTATTACTTCATCTGAAGTATAATAGATTCTGCTACAACCCTTTATTTTAACTCTGTGTGTACCTTTCTGTTTCAAGTATCTCTTATAAACAACAGATTTTTGGATTCTGGTTTATAATCCATTCTGCCATCTCCTTCTGTTTTATGGGTTAGCTCATTCCATTCACATTCACAGTTATGATTACTAACTGTAAAGTTTCCTCCATCCTTTTTCTTCTGTTTATTTCTCTTTCTCTTTTAATTCTATCCCTCCTTAAAAGCCTGTTTTTCTTCTGATTGCTGCCTCCCTTAAATAATTTTCCCTTTTATCATCCCCCACCCCTGCCTGCCAATACCATATCTGTTATCCTCTTCCCTTCCTTTTTCCCCATTGGGTAAGACAGATTTCTATACCCAACTGAGGTATGCCTGTGTGTATATGTGTGTGTATATGTCTTTATGTTTGTATGTATATATTCTCCCTCTTTAAACTAATTACTAAGAGAGTGAGGTTCAGGCATAGCTGGCCACCCTCCTCCCCATATTTTCATCCTCTATAAAAGTTCTTCCTTGCACACCTCTTTTAAATGAGAAAAAAAATCCCCATTCTATTCTACCTCTTTCTTCCCCTTTCTACCAGTGCATCCCTCATTCTCACCCCAGTTGGTAATCATTCTGACATATTAGACTCACGCCCATACCTTCTGTCTATGTAGTTTCCTTCTAACTGCACTAATAATGATAAAGTTCTTAGAAGTTATACAAATCATCTTCCCTTATAGTAATGTAAAGAGTTTTGCATTGTAGAGTCTCTTGTGATTATTCTCCCATGTTCCAATCAAGGCCAGCTGCAACCAATGCTAGCAAGTGTCTCCTGCAATCTCTTTTGGACTAGTTGTCAAACCCCTTACCATCTCTAGGCTAAAGGCCCCTGAAGCAGCAGCAGCAGCAGCAGTAGCTCTCGATCTCTGTTACAGCATCAGGGAGACTTCAGAAAAACCTGGAAAGACTTACATGAACTAATGCTGAGTGAAGTGAGCAGAGCTAAGAAAACATTGTACACAGTAACAGCAACACTGTGTGATAACCAACTTTGATAAACTTAGCTCTTCTCTGTTATGCAATGATGAAAGACAATTCCAAAAGATTTATGATGGAGAATGCTATCCACATCCAGAGAAAGAACTATGGAGTGTGAATCCAGATTGAAACATACTATTTTTACTTTTGTTTTGATTTTCTTTTTCATGGTTTTTCCCTTTTGTTCTGATTCTTCTTTCAAAATATGCCTAATGTGGAAATATATTGAACATGATTGTACATGTATAACCTATATCAGATTGCTTGCTGTCTTAGGGAGAGGGGAGGGGAAGGGAGGTAGAAAAATTTGGAACTCAAATCTTATAAAAATGAAAGTTGAAAATTATCTTTATATGTAATTGGAAAAATAAAATACTATTAAGTGAGAAAAAAAATTGAGTTCCAATCTCTTTTTTCCTTTCCTCCTTCCTTACCACCCTTCCTGAGATGGCAAGCAATTTGATATTGGTTATATATGTGTAGTCATGCAAAGCACATTTCCCCATTAATCATGTGAAAGAAAAAATATACCAAAAAAAGGAATATAAAGTTGTAAAAAAAAGAATCCTTTGATCTGCATTCAGACTCTATCAGTTCTTTCTCTGGGGATGGCTAGCATTTTTTTTTTATCAAAGTTCTTCAGAATTGTCTTGGATCATTTTATTGTTGAGAATAGTTGTCATTCAGAGTTGATCATTATATAATATTGTTCTCACTATGTAGAATGTTCTCCTGGTTCTGCTCATTTCACTTCACATCAGTTTATGTAAGTCTTTCCAGGTTTACCTGAAAGCATCCTACTTGTCATTTTTTATAGTACAATAGAATTCCATCACAATCATATAACATATATCCGTTTCCCAATTGATGGACATCCTCTCAATTTCCAATTCTTTGCCACCACCAAAAGTGCTGCTATAAGTTTTTTTGTACATATAAGTCATTTTCCTTTCTGCTCTTTATCTCTTTGAGATACAGACCAAGTACTGGTATTGCTGACTCTAAGTGTTTACATAGTTTTATAACCCTTTGAGTACAGTTCCAAATTATAGAGAAATAATTCTTAAGCTTTTATTTGTCATGGACCCCTTTGGCAGTCTGGTGAAACTCATGAATCCCTTCTAAGAATAAAGTTTATAATACACTAAATAAAATTCATACCAAAGCAATCACATACATACTTTCATACAACTGTTAACATCACCACGAGAATATGCATTTTGGTGATGGAGGGCTCAAGTCATTGGACCATGGTCTTCCCCTGTTTTGAGGGACTAGTTAAATGCTGAAATAAAGGAAAAAGTGAAAAGGAGATGAAGGAGGGGAGGGGAAAGGAGTAAATGAAGAAAAAAATGTAGATTACAGTTTTATCACTCATGCCATAGAAGAGACAAGTAGGGTAACTACATAAATCAACAGCTGTCAATTGTAAAAGCTACTATGAGTAATAATTCATGTTTACCTAATACTTTATATTTACAAATTACTTATATCTGATTTGATCTTCATAAAAATCTCATGAAGCAGATAGCACAAATATCATAAATCATAGATGGGGAAATAGACTAAAAGAAATTAAGTAAAATTTTCAGTTACATATCTAATAAGTAGCAGAGCTGAGACAAACCAGGTCTCACTTTAAATATAGTATTCTTACATGTGGCTCACTATGACTTCCGTCTTATCTTTTCATTTGCTCTAAGACTTGTGTTATAGGAATATGGGGAAAATATGGGAAAATATTATTATTACATGTTGAATCATTAATGTTTATGAATGTATTAGGAGGCCAATCTCTAAATTGTTCTGTTTTTTTTTCTCCAAACAATAGAAAGAAAGTAATTAACTCATGGCATAGGTAGGATGGAGCAGTGGGACAGATATTGTTTTTGTAGTCAGAGGACCTGGGTTCATTTTTCAGTTCTGCCACATACTTCCTCAAGGGTGGCCTTGAGGAAATTGTCCAGTTTTTTAGGCACAAGTTTCTTCAGTTGAAAATTAGGGGATTGGTATTATTTATGTTTAATATCCCTTCTACATCTAAATCTCTAGTCATATGACCAGGGATTAAATCTAGACCCTGCTCTTTACTGTGTTTACATGTGATCATGGATGGAACAACCATTTCACTTTAATTTTTTCATTTGTGAGAATTTGTGAGGAATTTGGATTAGGTAACCTTTTACATTCCTTCTAGCTATCACAGTCTACATTCATTCCCTGATACATAGTTAGGTGGCACACTGTGGTCCTGGTATCAGGAGGACTTGAGTTCAAAATCAACCTCAAGTATTTACTAACTTAATCTCTGTCTGCCTCACTTAACCTCTGTCTGACTCTGTTTTCTCACCTAGAAAATTATGATAATAACAGCATCTGTCTCGCTGAGTTGTTGTGAGGAACAAATGATATAAAATTTGTAAAGTATTTGGCACAGAATCTATAAATAGTAGGTGCTTCATAAATGGGTATTCTCCTATCCTCATCCCCTAGCCCCAGGTAGTGTGCTTGATTTGCTCTGGTTGTCTGGTCACAGGAATATTATTAAATTGAAAATTTATATTGGTAGATGTCAAAAATAATGGTTTCCATAGAACCAACATAGTGAAAAGGCACCCAGTGGAAATAGTATTGGCTGAAAGTAACATTTCTGCTAACGGAATTAGCAAACTTATTTTACAATAAATTAATAGGGTAGTTAGTTGCTCAGAGGCCAGAGAAAATCCTACAGAAGGTGATAGCATTCTCAATGTTCCCAGAATTTTTCTTTTTAGCTTATTGACATCTATCAGGACCATGATGAAGATTGCTCACTCATTCAGGAAAAAAAAGGCCAAAATTCAGGAAACTTGTTGAACAATAAAATCTGTCACTTTCTCTTTTAAAAGAACAAAGAAAGACCAAATTGTGAGGGTAGAGTAAGAAGCAAAATATTACATGGAGGTATATCATCCTGGATCTTTAAAGGATAGAAAATTGCTAATGTGAAAAGTGAATGTACTGTAAGCAAGCTCTATTGTATTCATTTTCCCTACAGAGAAAAAGGCAATTTTGATGCACTCTCAATATTGAAAGCTTAAACCTGTATGGGAATAAGTAATCCCGGATTGAATTACTCCATATGCAAATAAACTTCTTCCTTGACACCTAATCAAAGATCTATTCAAGGAATAGAGGAGTTAGCAATAAAATTAGAAAGAAGTTCTTGTAAATAAAACAAGCTTGCTATTTGACAAGTTCTAGGGAAATCTCAAGGTCATTTGATTTATGAATGATCAAGCTTAGAGGCATAAAGATCCCTTGTCATTCTATTCATGAAAACAGCCACTCCAGTTTATTCTGCCTCCTGATATTTCCACAGATTTAAAAGGGAAATGAAAAAGAGTTTATAAAGCACCTACTATGCACCAGGAAATGCATTAAACACTTTACAAAACTCACATACACACACACACACACACACACAAACACATACACAAAAGCCTATGACTGTTACATTGTAGTTCACCTTATTTTCTGTTTCTTTCCTATAGGATTTTGGAGATGATGGATCCCTGTACATTACTAAGGTTACCACCACACATATGGGGAATTACACCTGTTATGCAGATGGCTATGATAAACTATATCAGACTCATATCTTCCAAGTAAATGGTAAGAAGCACATTGTTGCAGTAATTATGTTCCTTGGTTCACTGGATTAAAAAAATGTTATGGTTGACTAGGAAGAGAATATAATGCAGTTTCATTTCTAAATTCTCAACTAAGGGAATATAGTTAAACAAGGATTGTTTTAAGCTTGATGATCTAAAAGTAAACAATTGAATAAAAGATGCTATTTTTATATAATACAATATTCTAATCTCAAATTAAAGTTTCATACATTTTATTATTATCTTTTTAGTGCGCAATAATTTTGAAGTGGACAATTAAAAGCATGGACAACCTGAATTCTCTTTCCAAATCTCTTTTTTTAGCTATAAAACTCCAAACTCAGGGTTTCTTAAAAAAAAAAAGTAAAATGGCAAATGGAGTTTTAGCTGCCTTAACCACAAAAGTAGTTCAACTGCATATTTGGTTAATTGCTTACTAATTGTTTAAATCCAGGAGAAAGTTGCCACCTTTCCACACCTGTCCCTCCCCTTGACTCAATTCAATCACATAGTCCTGAGCTAAGAAACATATCGTAGCTCTATTTGACGTTATTTAGAAACTAGATTGTAATTTTGCCCCAATTGATATAAGATACTATGAAAATTAATTTTAAAACATGTTAATAAATTTCATATTTCCCCATATTAAATTAGTACTATTGCCAATAATTAAAGATGATGATTCCAGGGTTAATTACTATTGATGTGGCTATAAGGATCAGCAAAGGGCCAACAGCATGCCCATGTGAAAATTCTTCTTTCTGATTTATGTGTCTCTTGTGTCTCTTTGAAACAATGTATAAGAAAAGAAATAGCTGAGTATGATAGGAAAAAAAAAAAGCATTGGACTGAGAATGCAGGGTGCTTGTTTGTATTCCTTACTTGGCCAATAACTAGCTATGTGAACTTCTGGGCAAAAAAAAAATGACCCTTTTGAACCCTTCTCATATATAAAATTAGACTATTGGATTTAGATGCTCTAAAATAGAGGTCTTGACGTGGACTCCATAAACTTGTTTTATTTTTTTAATTGACAATTATATTTTAATATAATTAGTTTCCTTTGCAATCTTATGCAGTTGATTTTATGCATTAAAAGCATAAAACTTTCTGAGAAAGCCATATGTGTGCATAACATGTACAAAAAGTTTAAAAATTTCTACTTAAGGTCTCATTTAACCATAAAATCCAATATTCTAATAATATATACCACAGCTCTTGTTATAACAAACATTTACCAAGTGTCTGTTATGTGTCTGTTGTTAGGTACTGTGGTATTTAGACATGAAAGACTTCCTGTATTAGGTACTGGGGCTTAAGACATGAAAGGGGAGTTATTCTGGACCATCAAGGAGGTTTCTTTCTATAGGGGGGAAAAACAGCACCTATGGCAAAACACACAGAAGCAGGAAGAGAATAGTACAGGGGAAAGAATTTTTACTCTGGAGTCAGAGGGATTGGGTTCAAGTTCTTCCTCTGACACAAACAACCTATGTCATATTAAAAAAAGTCTTAAATTCCCTTAGCCTCCATTTTCCTTATCTGTCAAATGAGGGGTTGGACTAGTTGTCCTTCTGAGGCCATTTCCAGCTTTAGATCTCATAATATGATGAGGGTATATCCTATTACCTAGGTATACATCATAAAACACAAATGTGATTTTTTTGGGAGAGATAAGAGAGAGCAATTAGCAACTGAGGGGTTCAAAATATGATGCTTCCTGAGCTGGGCCTTAAAGGAAACTAGGTGTTCTGAGAGGTTTAAGTATAGAAGAACTGCATTCCATGGATGTGCCTGTGCGATGGTATGAGGATGGGAAATGGAGTATTTTGATTGAAGAAGAACAAGAACATTTTGTCTGGACCAGGGCTGGGGGGGGGGGAATAAGCATTTCTGTTGCCCCTACAGTGTGCCAGGCTCATAAGATAAGAATAGGTAAGATAATAACAGTAATGATAACAATAATGATAACAATAATGATAATAATAAATGTAAAAATATTATATCATTTGATCTCATTTGATAATAGCATGCATAAAGGTTAATGTTTTTATATAATAAGGCCAGAAAGGTCCTTTGGAGACAGGTTATGAACGGCTTGAAATGCCAAAAAGAGGAATTTGTAAAATAAAGTTATTGTCAAAGATCCTTGATTAACTTAATACACAGATTCTAATTTATTTTTTTACTCTAGACCCATTTATATTCTTAAAATTCATTGAGGACTCCAAAGAACTTTGATTTCTGTGGGTTGTACCTATTGATACTTACCATATTAGAAATTAAAGTTGATAAAATTTTTATATTAACTCATTTAAAATAATTATTAACTCATATATTAATATAAATGTGATTTTTAAAAATGAAAAATAACCACATTTTTAAAAATAGTAAGAAGAGTGGTGGTCCCTTAAACAATTTAGGAAAATACATATAGAAGAATAAAGGTGACAGGACGATACCTTAAATTTAAATCAAGTCACAAAAATCAAGTTACAAAAAATTAGAAATCAGTTCTAAAAGCATAGTCAATATACTCTACCATTCCTGTATAGTTTCCCAATTTATTTATTTTTTGTGATATTTTTGCCCTTGATAACTTAAATGTTATGGCAGATATCTCAGTTCTATTAGCCCATTCATGTATAAAAATAGAATGTAGGAACTAGGGAAAATAAGGATGATGTTGATATTCAAGGGCAGGAAAAATTAAAAGATTTTGATCAAGGAATATGTAAGTGCACTAAATCTTCAGCTAAAATATTAGAGAGATAACGATTTATGCAGGAAAGATCATGAGATGAGGAATAAGAAGACTTAGTTTTGAATCCTGTTTCTTCTACTTACTTCTTTGATGAATTTTAAAGACAGCTAGGTGGTGCAGGGACTAGTACAGATTGAGTCAGAAAGACTTCAGTTCAAACGTAACCTCCAACATTTACTTGCTGTGTGACTTAAGTCAAGTGCTGTGTGACGCAAGTCACTTAACCTCTCTTTGCCTCCATTTCCTCATTTGTAAAATAGGGGTAATAATAACACCTACCAGAGTTGTTATGAGGATCAAATGAGATGATATTTGTAAAGCACCTAGCACAGTGCAAGGCACAGAGTAAGCACTACATAAATGTCATTTATCTTGATTACTTTAGGTCGATTTGTAATAATCACAGAGTCAATGGGACTTCCTTACTGTAAATGAAAAGGTTGTATTAAGTGATTCTAAAGTTCCCTCAAACTGTAGATATATCTCTCCATGACCAGCTTTTAAGTTCTGCTTCTCACATTTACTAGGCAAGTGATATCTGGCAACTCACCTCACCATTCTGATCTTCAGTCTCTTCATTTTTATAATGGTTAAAATAATGCTTCAGTTACTTACCTCACAAGATTACTTCTGTCTGCAACCTGCAAGTACTATGTAAATGTGAAATTTTTTTTACATGGCTAATACAACTCATTTCTAAGATGCTCCATTCCCTTTTCAGATCTGATTAGAAGACATGTAGGAAATCAGTGTTTTTCAGAGCTCTGTTCTAACCATGCAGAATCCATGATAATTATTAGCAAAAATAAAACAAGAAGTGACTGATTAGAGTGTTACCTGAAAATACCAATAATAATCACTGCTCAAAAAAATTAGAAAAAAAACAACAGCTTTCATGCTCTTAATTATTCCCACATGTAGAATAAGGGAAACCTCCTCGATTCATTTGCTCTTCAAGCAACAAAAATGCTAAATTAGAACTACAAAGGAGAGATTTCAGGGTCTTCTCAGAAGACAGAGGCAAAGGAAATAAAAAAGCAGGACTGAATAGAATCATTCTGTTAGAATCATTCGGGCTTTTTCCTGCCTACACCCCTCCCCCAAAATTAAATCGGCTTTTAGAATTCTAGGATCCAGAATGGCTGGAAATTTTTAAATTATTTGTTGTTTATATGTTTCTACATTTACAAGGGACATATGCATATTGCTGCAACATCTCTCTTTCCTGTCACTTGGGCCTAGCCATACATAATGACTAGTCTCTATATTCCTCATTCTTGACAAGAGTTCTTTGAAGAGGGAACACTAGAGTGACTGACCTCTTCAGACAGCTGACTCATACTTGGATACTATTTTTCTTGAGCCTGACTAAGATAGAATCTGGCTTTAAAATATCTTGTCAGGCATAGAGTAGATGGGTCATTGGGTCAGAATGCAATGTAGAGTGATTGAAGCCATGGGTCTCAAATGCTGTGCCAAAAAAAAAAAAGAAAGAAAGGCATTGCACATATTTTACAGCTTTCCTTTTTTTTTCTCAGTAGCATCATAATTTGTTCTGATTTTATGGAGTTGAAACTATTTTAATTTGTAAGCTATAGATGACATAGAAACATTAAGCTGGAAAAATGAAGCACTGTTCTATAGAGTATATCAGCATATATGCAAGTATAGTAGTAATGTTTCCAAACACATACACAGCAGTCAATAGTTATAGGACAGGATAATGACTAATTAATGTAATGACACTTGTATCACAGGAGAGTGGAAAGGAGGTTAATGTGATAATGAGACTTATTTGATCTTAAAGATTTAGCATGAGGACACTTTGAAGATAGTTTAATTGGATTTTAAGCACCTTTTCCAATTTACACGTACGCTTGCTAATCTATATGTTCTAAAAATGAGTTTTATGTCATTTGAATGAATAAGTTGACTTAATCCCACTTTTTAAAGGATTTTTTTCTATGATTTCCATTTCATGAATAGTTTGTTGAATCATTTTGCTAATGAAACATTTAAAAATAATGTATTATGTTCGAATTAAAAAATGAAGGATTACAGAAATATTGGAATCATAGTTCTAGGCTGGAACATATCTCCAAAATAATCTAATCCAGACTACTCCTTCATGGATGAGGAAATTGAGGTTATATGGCTTAGTCTCAAGATCATGTGGGTTGGACATATCAGAGCCAGGATTGGAAATTAAATCCAAACCTCTCATTATATTAGTCTGC